GGAAGTGCTTACTGAAGGACAAGAAAGGAAGGTAAATTACAAACAGTGATTGTATTTAACAGCTCAAGGCTGCTTCTTAAAGCTTAAAACAAACCCAACAAACTTTAAAGAAAATACGTTACAAATCAGGAGGCCCAGATTTAGTCAGAATTGAAAATGAAAATCTTTGGGGGATTTACTGCTTCAAATTGTCCAGCACTCCAAACAAGAAAAAGTGGCAAAAACAATACAAGAACCTTCATTAACTATATGAGCATGGATTTTGTTGGTCAAGCAGCTCATTCATGCAGATCCCACTGTGCAGAAGAAGCACAGTGTGGCTGCTGGGGGCAAACTGATCCTGATGTGGTCTATTTTCCATCAAAATCATGGATCATTGAGAAATTGCACACATCTCCGAGGATCTAACCTTAGGATATTTATGCATGTACTCAACATGGATTTCCCTCCTTGCCCACTGTCAATATAACCTGTGCCGAGGTAAGGGCTGCACCATCCATGCTTTATGCAACTTTTAACCCTCCTCTATGAATTCAAAGTGTAGTAATACTGAGAATCATGCCCGCCTTTCCCCTCTTTCTCCAGCAGCAATGTCACTTTGGGTGACTGGCATCGTGACCCTCCAATGCTTCTTCTGTGAAAAATGCCCGTAGTTGTAGAAAAGGTGCAAAACTGGTTAAGCAGTGGTGAGCCACAAGTTTTTGTAATGGGGATGTATTTGAGGGAAAAACCAAAGAAACTGGGGTACGTATATTCAGAGGTGGGTGATAAGACTCCAAACTGTATTAGATCCTTCCCAGAGACTTTAGTAGATGTTACCTTCAGTATCACCGAAGCAATTCCTAGGACACCAGAGAGTCAGTTTTAGATATTCTTACAATTTACTGGTATTGCTTTACTTCTGTTAGAATTAATTAAATTCCATGCTCTGGGCTCAAAAATTGTGTTAGTATTTGAAAATACTAAAATACCCCAAACCAGAGGTGATTTGGGATTTTGTGGCTCCCATGTGCAGAGGCTGTTTTAAGTGACTACATCCAGGCTGCCTGATACAATCAGCTCAAGAGAAACACAGCAGACCCCACCAAATAACAAATGCATGCTTCTCATGGAATGCCTGTTCACTGATGGAAGAAGTCACACATTTCGGCTTTGACTTTGAGGCAACACAACCAGTGTTGGAACTTGGATGTCAGCTTTCCACAGATTTTATACATCTTTCCAAGTCTGTTCTTTGTCACCCTGTACAACAGCCATCTCCCTACCTCAGAGATGCACCTGCTAATGTCCCCAGTGCCACAGCTGTGGATGCTGAAGGGACATGGGCAGCAATGGTCAGGCTGATGGGCTCCTCCTGAACACCATTCCCTACAGGCACTTCATTATTTTTAAACATATTTTTCATGTCATTTACTGGTTCCAAAGGAAGAAAGCTGCCACTCATGAGCTAAGCACCCACATCCACAGCCCTCCTTGGCTAGTCCTCAACCTTTCTCAGCCGGCCAAGATCCTCCCTACAGCCCCACTTGTTCATGCTTCTTCTCCCATACCCTTGTCAGGGACTGCATGTTCTGATCCTGCACAGCAGTTGTTAAGTTTCTTAGTACAATGAGATTAAAGACTGGATGCCTTCAGACAGTTCTGGCTTCTCCCGAGTCCTACACATATATACCTACACACCAGTATAATAAGGAACCTGAAAAACTAATTAGTGTTTCTTAATGTCCACCAAGATACCACATGTCAACCAACTTTTCAAATAGTACTGAAATGCTAAAGTCAGGAAATTTTAAGGTTTCTGAAGGGAAACATCCTGAGATGTTTCAGAGAAACAGGGCTGTTTAGTCTGCAGAAGGGAAGGCGTGTGACCTTTTGATGCTAAAATGGGGATTACAAGGAAGATGGAGAGAGACTTTTTACAAGTGCTTGTACTCACAGGATAAGGGGAAATGTTTTTTTAACTGAAGAGGATAGATTTAAATTTCATATAAGGAAGGAATTATTTATTATGAGAGTGATAAAGCACTGAAAGAGGTTACCCAGCAAAGCTGTGGCTGCCCCATCCCTGGAAGTGTTCAAGGCCAGGCTGGAGGAGGCTCTGAGCAACCTGGTCTAGTGGAAGGTGTCCCTGCCCATGGCAGGGCTTTGGAACAAGATGATGATTAAACGCCTTTCCAACACAAAGCATTCTAGGATTCTCTGAAATGGAGACATTCACACCTTAGTTACGTTGGGTAATTTTAGGTAAAGTAAAAAGCCTTCTGGACTTGACATATATAAAAAGAAAAAATGAAAAGGTCCAAGTCTGAAAAATCTGTTTTTCCTTAAAATCATGTACCTGCTGATATTATAGGTACAATAAAAATTTGGACTTTCAATGCTCTAAATTACTTAGAAAAAAAGAAAATCAAACCATGGTTTGTAACACATCTATCACAGAACTTCAAGCCCTAGAAGATGCCCGTGTATTTATATACATATTAGCTGGTTCCAGCCTGCATTTGAAAGTTTAGGTGGACATTTTTCTGGAAGTGTAAAAATAATATCATGGACAATATTACCTTTCTGAAATAAAAGGAACTTTGATAGAGAATAGCCTACTGTATATTAAAAAAGTAGCATGTTTCTTAAGCTCCATGTGCATTATATTTGCAATTTACATGGGGATTTGTAACAGCAGTGCTGCTCCCTGGGTGTTACTTACTTTGGATGGACTTCTCTAAGGCTGAGTTTACACAGCTGTGGTAGGAAAACCTAGCCACAATCAATTAAAAAGTGCAACACAAATCCTTTGAACAGCGTTCTCAGGCTGTCCTGCTGTTGAGACAGCTACTATTCTCTGAGTACGAGTGCTCTAACTGTATTAAACTTAGTCCTAACCAAAATAAGCTTTTACTAATTTTCACCATTTAAGGAACATAAAGACCTGCCTTTGTCATTTAAAATTTAAGCTGACTAAGCCTCATAGAAACAGAACATTAAAGAACTAAAGCAATTAAATCCATTTACAGAGGTCAGAAGAGTCTCTGGGTTTTAGGCATGATGGGCTTGTATGGTCTGTGGTTGTCATTCACATGAACTTTTAGATTACGGGTTGATAGGTGGCAAAGTGAGTCACCTTTGTTTTCCTCTTGATAGCAGTGATGCTGAGCTGATCCTAGCAGGTCACCAGTGTCCTGCCATTACCTGCACTTCTGATTACTGAACAACCAGAATAAGCAGGCAAATGAGACCCCAGATGCCTTCTCTTTGTGTGGGACATATTTATTACCCACCTACTGAATCCTGCACACAAAGAAGGCCTCAGTTAATGGAGTATGTCTACAAGCTGATGCAAAAAGCATCAGGAAAAAAAAAAAAAAAAAAGCAAGCTGCTGAAAAATCTGAAGTCTAACTAACTCACCAGCACATTGATAATACAATAATGTGGTCAATCCACTGTAGACTTTGAACAAGGATTTTTTTTTGTTGTTTTCAGCTAATTAGTAAAAGAAGAGATTAAGGTTTTTAATCTCTTGCTCTTTCTTCCCTCTTTTTACCTGGAGGGTGTGCATGTATGTGTACAAATGTATTTCCTAAATGAGCAAAGAAAAAGTACATACATATACATTATGATGTGGAAAACATGATGTGGAGTGTGACTTAGGTTTCATTTCCAACAAGAGGGTAATTGACATTATTTCAGATTTCCATGTTCTGTGACTGCAAGCAGTCAGATGTGTGTGTGTTATAGGGTGGGAGGGGAAGGGGGAAGCTGAACAGAGGATATGAATTTTAATCAGTTTCCTGAATGAATACAACACTGTATTTCCCCCTACTCTCCTTAGGATGACAATTCAGAGATAACCTTCTCCTTTGAAAAACCTTGAAAGGAAAGTTTGTTTTTACCATAACAAATGCAACAAAAGAGGAGGGAAGCTGGGATAGGGAGAGGGCGGACAAATTAAATGTCAAACTTTCTCTCCTTACTTGAAGATAACAGCATACTAGGAAACCTTCTCAGAAGCTTAACATAAACGCAGTTAAGCTGTTGCCAGCTGCAGTAAACCTCTCTCTCACCTTTCTTTCTCTCTTTCAAGATATCTTTGAATGCCTTCTCCTTCATCATAAATCAGACCTGTGAGCAATTATCGCTCAAGCCGGATGGCAGCGGCCTGAGTGGCCACTGCTATTCCACTGCTGTAATCTGCACTTTGTCAGGTTACACTACCCTTGATGAAATTTCACATTTCTTTGCCAATGAGCGTTACCTCTCCGTTTATGACTCACTGTCTTTGCAACAGAGAACTGTGAATTTCGTTCCTCTCCTTGTAATTTGCTTAAGCATCGTGGACCACCCGGCGGTGCTGAGCACCCTCAGCAACCCATCGGGGAGTCTCAGAGCATCCCAGTAGGATGTGGTTCTGCTGCTGTTCCTCAAATACTTCCCCTGAGGACACATTCAGCCCCTCGGAGGGAGACTGGACACAGACACCCTCCTCTGGGATGGTGCTGATGCCACTGCCAACTATCACAGGAACTCTTCGTGTTCGTCGTCCCCTTTCCTATCCATGCTGCCCCTGGGTGACAGGTTCTTCTCAAGTTCCGGCCCCGCCAGCCCCCTGGCTGCACCTTGACGCCATCACAGAGAAGACTTTTCCCAATCTTTCAGCCAGAAGTTAATAAAATGAAAAAGCCAAACCACCCCGAAACTGCAGCCCCGCAAAAGGGAGCGGGCTCCAGCCGTCAAGTCACGCCAAGTCTGCGAGCGCTGCCCGGGCACCAAACGGGGCTGTGCGTCCCGCACCGCGCAGCGCGCACGCACCCGGCACCGACCTGCCCAGAGCTGCCAACCTTTGCCAGGTAACTTTTAACTCTTTATATAAAACCCCCACACCAACCCAAAGGGCACACCCGCTCTCCCAGCCATCCTACATCCCCGCGCACGGCTGTCAAGACGGGCATAAAAAAGTAGGCACAGAGAGAGAAAGAAAGAAAGAGAGAGCGAGAAAGTCACTCACCGTTGGCGGCGGCACAGAGGTTTCCAGAGCCACTTTGAACTAAGAATGACTGAGGGACAAACTCTTCCTCAGAGTCCGAGCCCGCGGCCGCCCGGGCCGCGCCGTCGCCCAGCGACCGCCCCGGGCCCTCATTGGCCGGCGGCGAGGGGAGAGGGGAGGGGGACTGCGAGCGGGGGGTGGAGGAGGCGGACGAACAGGGCAGGGGGGGACCTGCGGGCCACAGACACACACAGAGAAGGGAGGGGGAAAAAACACAGAAAGAAATAAAATGAACAAAAAAACCACGGCAAAACACGGACAGAGACACAATAAAAGTCGAGCCGGGGCACGAGGGAAGGCCGACTCCCCACCCCGCCGCCTGCCCCAGCGGGGCAGCCCTGCCTGAGGGGCGGCCGACTGCACGTATCTGACCCCATTACCTGCTGCCCCTCGGGCTGTTACTGTCCTTCAAAACTCCTATCCTCTTTATATCCAACCTTTAAAACTCGCATCCGTCAGTTTTTTTGTTGGGCTTTTTCGGTTTGGTTTGGTTTGGTTTTGTTAAGATTTTGACATTGGCGAGAGCCCCTGATCCGAGATGCGCTTTGTTCCCACGGCGTGGGTGCACACTGTTAATGAGTCGTACTCACTGATGCGGCCGCGATCCGTCTTACTAACGGGAAAGCTTTGCCCAACGTATTGCGAGGCGAATTATTTCAGATTTCAAGTGAAAAGTGTAAAGTCCTTTTGGGGATTGGTTTAACAATTCCCTTCTCACTAGTTTATAAAGCAAACGGCTCAAGACCTCCACCATGCAGGCAAGAGGTGGAGGAAAGGTGTGGACACCGCTGTGTGGGGTAGAAGCAACCGAGCAAACCATCACACTGATAACAGAGCAGAAGCACAGCTCAGACCAGCGCCGTTTCGTTGATTAAATGATGAAAAACACAACAAATAGGGTTCTAAGATTATATTTTACATAGGGCTGTGCCTGACTGAGGAAGACCTTCTAACTGACTGCAAAAAAATTTAATCAGGTACATGCAGGTTAAGTGGATCTAATTGGAAAAGCTTACTGTAAGCAATTAATGGTGATCAGGGTCTTATTCCAAACATATTTTTAAACAAAACGGGGAAGTCAGAAGTGCCAAACTGGCAAAAAACTATCAGGCAAATGTGGAGGTCAGATATGTGCAGTACATCAATAAAAACAGGGGGAATATCAACACAGACATATAATACAGGACAATGCATTTAAACATGAACTTTTCACCTTGCTACATTTGATCTGAACGTCATAATGATTAATCTCTCACATTTTCCCAAATACTGAAATTTTATCATGCAAAATCCATCAAAATAAAAGAACAGTCAGCACAAGAAAATCAGCAAACTTAAAAAATCATCTGTTTTTATAAAAACACATTTTGAACACAGCATGGCTCACAACATAGCTGTACAATATTTCTTACTAAACACAACATGAACACTTTAGAAAGGGACACAAACCCAAAACAATAAAGTGGGTTTAACATTTAAATCCCCCAAAGCTGGTTCTGCATATGTATTTCCTTCCACCTTGGTCATTAGTTTTTCTCATGACAAGCCCTTGGATGTCACCTCCTTGGCATATGCCAGCCCTATAAATTGCCAATTATAATCAGACAAGAAATTGTGGCATCAGAGGCAAACCCTGGGATCCAAGGAGAATACCAGACTGTACCTGTGCTTAGAGACACTTGTCACCTGAAGGAGAAAAGACAGTGTTGGTTGAGAGGCTACACTGCCTTGTGTGAACAGCAGCCTGCGCAGCATGCAGACCACAAGCCAAAATTGAGCCCTGTGTGTTTTGTTATGATCAGCAGTGGAATTGTCTGGATCGCCTTCTTTCTGACAACCCTCCAGACAGAGAAGTTCCTCCTTTAGGAATGCAGCTTTTAAGGAATCTGCAGCCCACTTCACACTCCCTGACCCTTTTTATGGTGCCAAGGCTGTAACCTTCCCATTGTGCTAACTAGTGGCAGGAGCTGGAGACAGACAGGGAGAAAAAGGAGCACATGCAAGTGGATGAGCACTGCTTTCCTTGTCACAGTCTCTGACATGAAAACTGATATTCAGCTCTAATTCTGATCTGCTTTTGAAGAAGCAAAGTATACTCTGTGTCATCCTCTTTGTGGCAATAGAAATTTGATGAGCCCTGACATGTAACAAAGTTTAAATCAGGACTTTGATTTGCTATGCTTTCATTACAAAACAGGGTGACTTGTATTTTTAATCCTGTGCAGTAGTCAGAGGCTGAATTTTAGTGTGATGGTGACTGAAATGGAAAAGTGTAAAATCAATGTCTTCCTATAGACCCATACAGTTTTTCAGTGTACTTTGTAAGGAGAGGACACATTTTTCCAGCCATTGAGAAAGACAGCCTAGATTAAAAATGTATTTCAAGCCTATGATTCATTTACACAAATACCAGTGAAATGCATAAAAGGGAGTTAATGGTGTGGCTACCCAACCAAAAAAAAAAAAAGTGGACAAGTACAGTAGAGCCCCAAAGCTCTCCCTGTGTTTTGTTTAGACAGTATGCTTGGCATAACTATACATGAATTCTGTAGTCTGGATGTAAAGAGCAGGAGCAGAATGAGCTGAATTTGGAATTGTAACCCTAAAAGCAAAATGTCAGTGCTTTTCTGAGTCCACATTACAAAGTTTCTGCCATTTCCACATGGTTGCAAGTTGTTGGGAGTTTCTTTTGGAAGGAGGTTTTCCCATCTCCCAGTATTGCAATTTTGGCAAGAAAAAAATTAAAAATATAAATAAAAAACAAAACCAGAACCTTTTAATGGCAACTTTGGGTTTTAATCAACGACACCATTGCAGAGCGCACACGAAAAGATCCCATGGGCTTTCACGGTCGTTACCTGCACTTGCAGCAGTGCGTGAGCTGACCTTTACAAGGGCAGATTCCCCAGGAATTGTGCAGAACAACCACTCAGGGCTGTGCTGCTATGAAGGGCACTGGCACATTCCACCGTGCTCTGTGGAAAATTGCCTTTTGGCCATGAATGCCGGGGTGGATTCAACAGGAGATTTTGCCAGCTGCTGGATGGAAGGTGTGCCCTAGGCAGCTCTGCTGACAGCAACCAGATATAAAATGCATGGGAAGCAAAGTGATACCTTCCTTTTTAGCAAGTCAACAAGGCTGTAAGGCAAGCATGTGTTAAGTTGTGGATCCTTTAAGAGAACTGCCTCCTTTTTTTCCTGCTTGGACAGAAAACCAAGAATTAAATCTGACCTTTTCACAAAAATTAAACCAAGAGAGAGACGAAAGCTGCAAGTTTGTTTCCTTCTCAGACAAGTATCTCATTGAATTTACTGCAACTGCAAGTCCAAGTAAAACAAGCCCATAAACTTTCATTCCAGCTGCCAGAGCAAAATTTCTAATTGATTAGAGCAAAATGAATTTGCAGCAATACTGGGTTGCCATGGAACCTGAGCAAGTAGGACAACTTACTTTGCAGAATGTGCTGTTTCTCCTTCAAAAATACAAAACAGAAGGACTAGATAACACATTCATTATGTACAGTCTTGCAATTTGGAACTTAAAGAAAAACAAAACAGATTCCAAGTATGGGCCCCTTGGCATCCATTTGTAACAATCTTATATATCCACTTGCAGTGAACAGTCAAATTATGTTCTTTGGACTTGAGGCAGGAATAATAGTCGTTGAATGTCTCTGTATGAATGATGTGATACTAGCACATATTCAGAGGAAAAGAGAACAGAACCTTGTATTTTATCTATGTGCCAGTATTTCAGATTAAAATTAAAAAAAAAAAATCATGGGAAGATATGTTGCAGTGTCTGGTAGATTTATGAAAGTACTTAGGAAACACAAACTTTGGAAATAGGTTAGTACAAAGAATCTGTTTCTCAACCGAGGAACTCTGCAATATTCAGGCAACTGCTTTAAATTTAGGGAAGAGACAAGCAGAGCAGACCCTAAATAGTTAGGGGAAAGTAAGACAAACAATAAACACGCCTTCATTTTGTGCTGCACATTTGGCTGTAATATTTAAGAATTACTTTATCTCTCACAGGATTTGGCATTCAGAGATCAAGAGCTGATTTAAAACGGGTGTACTCATGCTAGTATGAATAGAAAGGCTGCCAGAAATACAGAACATTCACAGAGATACTTCTAAAGAAGGTCAGTAAATTGTTTCATGGACTATATTCAGTGGATTATACTCTTATGTTTGTAATTTGTCCCAAAAGAGGTGAAAAAGAGTGGGTATATACAATGGCTGACTTCTCACAGAGCTGAGATGACAAGGCAACAGGATTTAATAGTGTTCAATATACCCAGAATGGTATTATCTGTGATCAATAAAGAAGTAGTATCAGCTTTATTCACCTGGTAACTTCTTCATCCAAGAACCTTTAAGGGCTTTACAAGCATTGGGTATGTAAACTTTGAAATAGTGTTATCAGATATCTTGGGATCTGTTATCAGATTGGCTGATACAATGGTCAGAGAGCTGGAACACTTGTGATATGAAGACAGGCTGAGAGAGTTTGAGTTGTTAAGTAGGGAGAAAAGAAGACTCTGTGGAGATCTTCCAGCAGCCTTCTAGTACTTAAAGGAAACTTGTAAAAAGGAGGAAGTGCGTCTTTTTACACAGGCAGGTAGTGACAGGACACGAAGGAAGAGTCTTAAACTAAAAGAGAGGAGATTTAGATTATATACTGGGAAGAAACTTTTCCCTGTGAGGATGGTGAGGTAGCCCAGAGAAGCTGGGCTGGACAGAATTTTGGACAGCCTGTTCTAGTGGAGGGTGTCCCTGCCCAGGGCAGGGGTGTGGAACTGGACGATCTCTAAGGTCACTTATAGCCCAAACCATTCTGGGGACCAGACTTACATTTCCAACTGAGGCACAGAGATGGGTAATAATTGATTCAAAATTCTGTCATTTCCTGTTCCTGCATGTTGTATCTCTAGCCACAGAAACAGTCTAAAAGGCTGTTGTCACATTAAAAATATTTTTAATTAACTGGATTCCCACAATAAAGAAACAACAGTCATGGGCAATTGATTGCAAAATGATTGCAATTACCTCAGTACAACAACTGCAGTAGTTCTCACATAAGAACGTTGTAAGAACGTTGGCATTAAGTCCTGTCACTGACATTGCCTTTGTACCACCTTAAAATAGCAAAGTCTCTAACCAAG